ATATATGTGTATATATATATATGTAATATATGTATATATATGTATATATATGTATATATATATGTATATATATGTATATATATATATATATATATATATATATATATATATATATATATATATATATATATATATATATATATATATATATATATATATGTCGCTGAGATGTCATCTCACGACAAGGAAAATGTGAATATCATTCTTCAGTGATGTTTGTTAGAAGAAAAAACCGCCCATTTCGTCACGGATTCGATTTATCAGGGCAAGATCGTACATCAGAGTTGTTTCAACACAACAAACACACTTCTCCTCTCGTTCGAACTGAAAATTGACCAATAAAACACTCCTAAATTTCTATTCCGAATTTCATAACATTCCATATATTGGCTAACTTTAAGCATGTAAACAGCCTCTCTGGGCACCAAATAATAATTACTCACAATCTTGTAGGTCAAAATGTCAATTTTAGGAGAAATACAAAACAAGACACAAAACATGACATTTCCCGCTAACAGAACATGGCAGGACCCTGCCTACGAACACAAATACTTTTGTATTGTACTTTCAGAAAACACTTAACTCCGTGACATAATAACAATGTAAACAAAAGCGTATCAAAAATAGATCAGCATTATACAAATGAAATCCTCTCTGAATCAAACTTAGAGTAAAAAAATATTGATATTACATATATAATCCTTAATTACGCCAACAAAGAAAACGTTAATGAATTTAAGGTAGACGTAAATTTAATCGTGATTTTATTTCATGGCTACAATAATATATACACACACACGCGCACACATATATATTTATATATACACACACACGGATGTATACATACATTAACACATCTCTCTCTCTCTCTCTCTCTCTCTCTCTCTCTCTCTCTCTCTCTCTCTCTCTCTCTCTCTCTCTCTCTATATATATATATATTATATATATATATATATATATAATGTATATATATATATATATAGTGAAACGGAGACCCTAGATAGCTTCAATATCCTTTCTTTGTCTGCGCAGAGGAGGAAAAAGTGGGTGTGTCTGCTGTGCGCGTGCCCTCTCGCGCCACCCGCTTCACAGACCAGACGCTCACCTGCAGCTACAACCTTGGCGACATGGGCCTCTATGCTGTCAAGTGGTACCTCAACGACAGCGAATTCTTTCGGTGGGTGGAAGACTTAACAATTTAGCTGTAATGAGGAACCTAGTTATATTTGTCATTCTGTATACCTGAAAGAGAAATAACTGTAAAGCCTGAAAATCAAATATGTAAACAAAATCTTTCTGCAATTGAAAATTTGCTACAAAAGACAGGGACATCGGGGTTTAAACTGAAAGTATAACAAACATTTAAAATCTTTTCAGATACTCATCAGAGCGAGATATTGTTGTTTTCGGACAAGATGTCCAGGTCAACGTAAGTATGTGTCCCTTAGTAAATCAGTGTAAACGATAAACGCGTGAATCAGTATTGGCACATGTGACGCACTTTCTATGGCGAATAGGAGGAAGACGATGAGGAGTTGGTGTCGTCGATATGCTTGGCGGCTCCGGCAGCGCTTGAAATGCCGGTCTATTTATGTAGGAAGATGCCTATAAACCACTTCTTATTAATATATAAACAAAGAATGTTATCCAACAGATCGAGGAATCCGGTGCGAACAAGGTAGTTCTCCGTGAGGTGGATTTCAGTGCCTCAGGAACTTACAGATGTGAAGTGATATCAGACGCACCTTATTTCAAGATTTTCGTAGGAAGCTCCACAATGACAGTTATTGGTAAGTTGCAAGTTCGAAATGAGCGTACTTAGTCACCAATGGATGTAGAGTGATTAGAATGATGCAAGAATGACTACATTGTAAACTAAGCTAAAACATGTAGTAATACACAATGACAGTTACCATAAACTAATAATAATCATGGCCATGCACAACAACTGGACGTGAAAGTCTCTCTATAACTGCTGCATCAGGCTGTGAAAGCATGATGTTGAGCTTGAGATAGTTCAAGGTTACTTAGATGTAAGTTTAAGCAAGAACCCTATGAGTGGCTCATGCTAGGACTGTCCTGAGGGACTGCTCAGCTTCTTGCACCTACAATGAACTTGCTGAGGCATAGAATTTGATTCAGCCTGCATTCTTTCACTATCAGTGGTTTGTCTGTTATTGAATGCAACCAATTGTCTAATTTTGCATGAAATGCTTCCACAGTGCTGTTATTTTGAATGCTTTTTGTCATACTATTAATCAGTGTTGGCCCACAAATTAAGAAACTTTGGTTACACATTTTTCGTAATTGGGAAGTCTGAGCAGTTATTCCAGAACGATAACATGTTTCCTTGTCTGGGAGAGTGTCAGCCTCCAGGCTAGTACAGTGGTAATGTGCCGACCTCTCATCCGAGGGGTCGGCGGTTCGCGCCCCGCCCAGGCGCGAGAAGTTGCAATTGTCGCTCGGAGGTTACTGCTGTGGCTGGGCACCGCGGTGGGTAAGGACTAAGCTCTGTCGCGTCAGCACTCGCTGACACACGTTGATCGAGTCGACATTAGTCGGCACAGGCCGGGCTCCCCTCATAGCCCGGGCGAGGCTCAGCTTCGCATATCGGACTTATCCTTATGGGGGAGTGTCTTAACCAGATTACCCCTTCTACTCTTCTTGGATATGGTACCATGTTTTCTATGATCACATATAGAGCTATCTTTTCTCTCCATCTTCGTAAAAAAAAGCTTGATTAGTCTTTTTCAGTATTAAAGACCTGCCATGTCTAATGCTTCGATGGGAACTCTTTAATCCTGTTCTAGGAATGTTATTTTTTAGACTAGGCATCCATACTTGACACTGATGTGCCATACAGCCATAGATGTTACTTTAGATTGTTTTATATGTGTGCATTTATGTCCTCACTCCTAATAGGGAACAGCAGGTTCGAAAACTGAGCCTTGTGGTACTCCACTTCTAACAGTTAATTCATTATAATGATATTCATTAAAAATTACTTTTTGCTTACATTTGCCAGGAAATTTGAATGTATCAGTTCTGCCTTTTCTTTTTAAGTGTTTCAGTTGGTTAGATAATGAAAATATAATATATAAGTTGAGAGTTCCCTGATGACTGTTCCTATTATAAGATATATTTCACAATGATTGGAAATTGTTTTGATCCTTAATGAATTTGCCAGACGTCTTCTGGTGAGAACTTCAATCCATCTTTATAGAAGGAAGAGTGGGAGTTGCAGAGGCTGTATATAGGGGGAGGGAGATAGTGAGCTGGAGGTATATGCGGGGGGACTAGTGAGGCTGAGATCCTAGATGACTTCAATATCCTCTCTTTATCTACAGCAGAGGAGGAAAAAGTGGGTGTGTCTGCTGTGCGCGTGCCCTCTCGCGCCACCCGCTTCACAGACCAGACGCTCACCTGCAGCTACAACCTTGGCGACATGGGCCTCTATGCTGTCAAGTGGTACCTCAACGACAGCGAATTCTTCCGGTGGGTGGAAGACTTAACATTTAGCTGTAATGAGGAACCTAGTTATATTTGTCATTTTGTTGTCATGAAATTTGTTCACTCATAAATACCGGTTGTTTTTGTATAGTAAGATCCCTTTATAGATTAGAAATAAATGCGTAGATGCATCCGGAACAGCTGTCCGTACAATGCTCACTGTATACCTTGAAAGAGAAATAACTGTAAAGCCTGAAAATCATATGTAAACAAAATCTTTCTGCAATTGAAAATTTGCTACAAAAGACAGGGACATCGGGGTTTAAACTGAAAGTATAACAAACATTTAAAATCTTTTCAGATACTCATCAGAGCGAGATATTGTTGTTTTCGGACAAGATGTCCAGGTCAACGTAAGTATGTGTCCCTTAGTAAATCAGTGTAAACGATAAACGCGTGAATCAGTATTGGCACATGTGACGCACTTTCTATGGCGAATAGGAGGAAGACGATGAGGAGTTGGTGTCGTCGATATGCTTGGCGGCTCCGGCAGCGCTTGAAATGCCGGTCTATTTATGTAGGAAGATGCCTATAAACCACTTCTTATTAATATATAAACAAAGAATGTTATCCAACAGATCGAGGAATCCGGTGCGAACAAGGTAGTTCTCCGTGAGGTGGATTTCAGTGCCTCAGGAACTTACAGATGTGAAGTGATATCAGACGCACCTTATTTCAAGATTTTCGTAGGAAGCTCCACAATGACAGTTATTGGTAAGTTGCAAGTTCGAAATGAGCGTACTTAGTCACCAATGGATGTAGAGTGATTAGAATGATGCAAGAATGACTACATTGTAAACTAAGCTAAAACATGTAGTAATACACAATGACAGTTACCATAAACTAATAATAATCATGGCCATGCACAACAACTGGACGTGAAAGTCTCTCTATAACTGCTGCATCAGGCTGTGAAAGCATGATGTTGAGCTTGAGATAGTTCAAGGTTACTTAGATGTAAGTTTAAGCAAGAACCCTATGAGTGGCTCATGCTAGGACTGTCCTGAGGGACTGCTCAGCTTCTTGCACCTACAATGAACTTGCTGAGGCATAGAATTTGATTCAGCCTGCATTCTTTCACTATCAGTGGTTTGTCTGTTATTGAATGCAACCAATTGTCTAATTTTGCATGAAATGCTTCCACAGTGCACTGTTATTTTGAATGCTTTTTGTCATACTATTAATCAGTGTTGGCCCACAAATTAAGAAACTTTGGTTACACATTTTTCGTAATTGGGAAGTCTGAGCAGTTATTCCAGAACGATAACATGTTTCCCTTGTCTGGAGAGTGTCAGCCTCCAGGCTAGTACAGTGGTAATGTGCCGACCTCTCATCCGAAGGGTCGGCGGTTCGCGCCCCGCCCAGGCGCGAGAAGTTGCAATTGTCGCTCGGAGGTTACTGCTGTGGCTGGGCACCGCGGTGGGTAAGGACTAAGCTCTGTCGCGTCAGCACTCGCTGACACACGTTGATCGAGTCGACATTAGTCGGCACAGGCCGGGCTCCCCTCATAGCCCGGGCGAGGCTCAGCTTCGCATATCGGACTTATCCTTATGGGGGAGTGTCTTAACCAGATTACCCCTTCTACTCTTCTTGGATATGGTACCATGTTTTCTATGATCACATATAGAGCTATCTTTTCTCTCCATCTTCGTAAAAAAAAGCTTGATTAGTCTTTTTCAGTATTAAAGACCTTCCATGTCTAATGCTTAGATGGGAACTCTTTAATCCTGTTCTAGGAATGTTATTTTTTAGACTAGGCGTCCATACTTGACACTGATGTGCCATACAGCCATAGATGTTACTTTAGATTGTTTTATATGTGTGCATTTATGTCCTCACTCCTAATAGGGAACAGCAGGTTCGAAAACTGAGCCTTGTGGTACTCCACTTCTAACAGTTAATTCATTATAATGATATCCATTAAAATTACTTTTTGCTTACATTTGCCAGGAAATTTGAACGTATCAGTTCTGCCTTTTCTTTTTAAGTGTTTCAGTTGGTTAGATAATGAAAATATAATATATAAGTTGAGAGTTCCCTGATGACTGTTCCTATTATAAGATATATTTCACAATGATTGGAAATTGTTTTGATCCTTAATGAATTTGCCAGACGTCTTCTGGTGAGAACTTCAATCCATCTTTATAGAAGGAAGAGTGGGAGTTGCAGAGGCTGTATATAGGGGGAGGGAGATAGTGAGCTGGAGGTATATGCGGGGGGACTAGTGAGGCTGAGATCCTAGATGACTCAATATTCCTTCTTTATTTCTACG